TGCATGCGATTACATCGAAATGACTACGTTTTCTTCAAGGGAAGTCTTTCATCCATTCTTGAGGGGCACTTCGTTATCAAAAGTTATTCTTTCCTATTAAGAATTTACCGAGGATAATAATAACATTAGCAAGATCTCGAGGATAGAGAAAGTTCAAACTACATTCAATAGATCTCCCTCAAACTCGCATGACTTACCTGCCTACGAAGTGTTATGGTGGCAAGTGATAGAACTCGGTGATACAACCTTCAACACTCCTAAAAGACATGACATCTCGCTCATATGTGAAATAATTGCGAACTCGCTTGCTTTTAAAATCTTTTCCTTTCGACCTATCCATTTTCCAGCTCAATGGTCAGAGCAAGCTCACATGTCGTGAAGAAACGTTGAATGCAATTGTATAGCAGGACAAGGTTCTCTAACCATGTAACTTAATCAAAAATTTAAAAAGTGCATGAGAATAAGCTTCAGCAAAAGGTCGCTGGAAATTACGTAACAACTTAATATTTAGTAGTACATTACTATACGATTTTCAATATCTAAGCAAATGCGAATAATTTTGATATATGAATAAGTGGAAAGATATGACGGCATATAAGTTGATGAACTTGTAAGACGGGGATTTTTTTTTTCAAAAAGGGACAAATTTCACGCTCAACAGCCAGTGCAAGCCTAATGCTTTTAGACGTAGAGCAGACGGAGGTGCACTCTCATATATATTAGTAAATTGGCTATAGCTTGGATATTCATATAAGCGGCATACAGAATGCGATATGGTTGCGTTCCCTACGTTTTCATATAAATAGGTAGTAGGTTGCAGCAGGATGAGCCTCTACCGAGAATACGATTAGGAAAAAGAGAATAATTCAATATTTTGCTAGATTCATCAATAAAACCTCCAGAAAGAACAAATGCGAAATAAATATGGAACATTATGTTCGAGTTTTTTGGAATTTGGTTTCCTTTAATCTTCACTACAACTTTCTGGAAGATTGTCACAACCTTTAAGGTTCATCACAATCGATATTGTGTTTTCCTGCCAAGTCTTTTCGGAAATCAAATACTTTGTTCCTTTGCGTATTGCAGAGTATTCCAAATTAATCTAAACCTCGTTTAGTCTGTCAACATGAAAGAAGACTGGAAGCTCCTGAACATATTTATTGGAGGAAACGACATGTGCGGATATTGCCATAACCCGGTTTGTAAAATTTATTTAAGTACAGATGAACTTTATCAATGGATTATTTGTCAAGAGATCATAATTGCAGAACGATGCCCCCGAAAAGTGCGTTCAGCACATATCGGATACTATCCAGATTATTTACGATCATGTACCACGCGTCATCGTTTCCCTAACAGTTATGCTACACCTCGAGGTTCTACGTCTAACTGATTCTGGACATTTTTTCTGCACAGAACTTCACACGTTAGTTTTACCTACTGCGCTCCAAAGTTTTGATTTGCAGCGCAATTTATCATTTCATTCGCGGCATTTGAAAAATATCGTTTTGATGAGATGAAAGAAGAGCTGGGAGAAGTGATTCGTTAGAAGCTGAGAATATTTAGAACATTGGCAAGGTTCTCGTCAAAATAAAAACGTGTTGAGAAACAAATTGTTTGAAATTTTACATTGCACTGGTTGCAGTCATTCAACTAATTGTTGTGAAGTA